CTTCTGGGCTACTGTGCAATTAATTCCTAGTAGGCTAGCAGGGGACTTTGCTCCCAGCACCTGATAAACTGCCACAGTAGGGTGGAGTCTGCTGCCTTTGTTCTGTGTGGGGCCTGCCTTAGGAATAGACTCTGCTTGTAGAGAAAAGATTTGGGAAGATGTTGAAGACAGTGAAAATGTGTGTTAAGGTGATAGAGGAGAGGAATCCTAAAGTAGTTTTTCAAGTGCAAATATTCCATTTACTGAATCTAGGTTGTGAGCAGATCTCCAGGCTTTTTGAGCCTGTGTCACATGTCACTGTGCTGAGCCTAACAGCAGCAGTAGCCTTATAATCCCAGGGCAGTGCCTCCAAAGTGAATATACTTGACAAGTAGGAATCCTAAAAATTCCTCACCTCCTGCAAACTCTTTAAATCCATATGCAGTATCTTTCTGCTGATTCTTAAAGGTCTGAGCTTTGTCCTGTGCAGTGTTGGCTTGGGCTGGGAGGAGGGTTGTTTTCCCGAACATGATAAGGAACTGAGCAGGGCAAAGTGGGAGCTCTGACTGGTGATTGGTAGACAGGATGCCCTGGAATGCAGTTGGCCTGCAGCCCAGAATCCAGCACTTTGTATTTGTTTGTTTCTGGGAGACTGTGGTCTGGTGCTACTGTGACAGGAAGTGAGAAAGCTGGGAGTGGGGGAATGGAGAGGGGCGAGGTCTTTGTGGTTCTCCTGTGAAATCTCTTTGTCCCTGGAGAGCAGCTCCGCGGCGGAGCTCCACTGAGAAGAGAGCAGCCTTTGTGTGTCTAATGGGTCTCAGAGCCTCTGGCTGCTCTGTGGGATTAGGGAGTGTGAATTCTGACTGTGGCCTTTTGCATCTTAGCGCTTGAGTTATTACATAAATGGTCTTGATCTCTCAGTATTGGGGAGCTTACTGAGTTTTGTGTTTGCTGTTGTTATTTATGGATCTGTGGGATTTGATTATGAAAGGGATTTGAGGAGATAGATGTTAACAAATCTTCCCTACATATATATTGCAGATAACTTGTTGAATCTGAGAGAGAGAGAAAAAAGCAGGTAATTGCTGGGGCCCTAATTTTAGACCCCATTCTTACGGTTGGCACTGTACTGTGATCAGCGTAGGAGAAATCGACTTGTTCTTTGATTTCAGTATTAACAGGTGGTTTTGCATGTAACTAGCAAACCATTTTGCAGTTTCCTGGGAATTTTCCCCCAGGATTGAGCGAGCACCTGTAGCACCTCCTCCTCCTCTCCTCTCCTCTCTCTTTTGTGTTATCCCTGCCCTCCATTCCAACTGTGAAACATGCCTCTCTTCTCACTTCCTAGATTGGGTGCCTGAGCTTTCAACTTCTTGCCAAGCTGGCTAGTTCCTAAGCTCACACACACAAACCGGCCTTTGATTGCCCAGGAGGACAGCTGCCCTGGAGGCAGATTGCTAACATACCACTAGAACAATTCCTTGCCTCTGTTCCGGTGCTGGCCAGCACTGTCTCCCCTGCTTCTAGCTCCTTCGATTTCCCGCCCCAGCTCTGGTCTTTACTTTTGGCTTAGTGAGATGTCACATTAAAATTGAGAGCAGGGGACTGGTATTATGGCATAACCTGCTCTACTGGCATGCTGTCTGGGACCCAGCAGAGTTCCACTACTCCACTCCTGATCCTGCTCCCTACTAACACACCTGGGGAAGCAGCGGAGGATGGACCAAGTGCTCGGGTTCGTGCACCCATGTGGGAGACCCTTAATAAGCTCCAGGCACCTTGCTTTGGACTGGCCCAGCTCCAGCCACTGCGGCCATTTGAGGAGTGAACCAGCGGATGGAAGATCTGTCTTATCTCTCTCTCCTTCTTTATCTTTCTCTCTCTCTCTCTTTTTTTTTTGGGGGGGGTTAAAGATTTACTTATTTATTTCTGTTGGAAAGGCAGACCTACAGAGAGCATGAGAGACAGAAAGATCCTCTATCTGCTGGTTCACTCCCCATGGCCGCAATGGCTAGAGCTGAACTGATCCAAAGCCAGGAGCCTCCTCCTGGTCTCCCATGTGGGTGCAGGGTCCCAAGGCTTTGGGCTATCTGCTACTACTTTCCCAGGCCACAGGCAAGGAGCTAGAGCAGCTGAGACATGAACCAGTGCTCCTGTGGAATCCCAGTGCTTGAATGGGGAGGATTAGCCAATGAGCCATTGCTCCAGACCCTCTGACTTTCATGTCATATATATGTATATATAGTTATTTTTTAAATAAAAATTCAGTTCTTTAAAAAAAAAGTAGATATGTTTGTGATTATATTTTCTTTCTTTGGGTGGAGGTGATCAGAATGTGGCATGCGTCCACATCTCTAGAACAGGCCAGTGGAAAGGTAGCTGATTGGTACCAAGCACTAAGTACTTTTCTGTGCCTCACATCTTCCCTCTTCCTGTATTTTTGTTGTTGTTGTTTTTTGCTAAAGATTTATTTATTTATTTGAGAGAGTGAGAATGAAAGATAGAGACCTCTTCTACCTCCTGGTTCACTCCCCAGATGGCCACAGGGCTAGTGTTGGACAAGGCCAGAGCCAGAGGCCAGGAGTTAATGTAGGTTGGACACATGATGTGGCAGAGATCCAAACACTTGGCTACTAGCAGGCAGCTGTAACAGAGGTGGAACAATTAGCAGCTGGGACTTGAATTGGTACCCACATGGGATACCAGCTTTGCAGGTAGTGGCTTTACCTGTTACGCCACAACATTGGCCCTGTTTTTTTTTTTTTTTTTAAAGATTTTATTTTATTTTTATTGGAAAGGCAGATATACAGAGAGGAGGAGAGACAGAGAGGAAGATCTTCCGTCTGCTGATTCACTCCCCAAGTGAGCGCAACGGCCAGTGCTATGCCGATCTGAAGCCTCCTGGCTTCCAGGCCTCCCACGCAGGTGCAGGGTCCCAAAGCTTTGGGCTGTCCTCAACTGCTTTCCCGGGCCACAGGCAGGGAGCTGGATGGGAAGTGGGGCTGCCGGGATTAGAACCAGCACCCATATGGGATCCCGGGCGTGCAAGGCGAGGACCTTAACTACTACGCCACCGCCACCGTGCCGGGCCCAGCCCTGTTTTTATTATGGAAGGGAGCGTCTTCATGTGCTCTTTCCCAGAAATGAGTAAAGACCCAAAGATCTAGTTGGTTCTATCTTGTCTTCTCTTGCCTTCTCTTTCCTTCCCTGCAAGGAATTTACTTTTATTGAGCTTCTCTATTGGTATTAGGATAACTTTTTTTTTTAAAAAAAGATTTATTTTAGTTTTATTGGAAAGGCAGATATATGGAGAGGAGGAGAGACAGAGAGGAAGATCTTCCATCTGATGGTTCACTCCCCAAGTGGCTGTAACAGCTGGAGCTGAGCCAATCTGAAACCAGTCCGAAGCCAGGAGCTCCTTTGGGTCTCCCACGCAGTTGCAGGGTCCCAAGGCTTTGGGCCATCCTCTTCTGCTTTCCCAGGCCAGAAACGGAGCTGAATGTGATGCAGGGCCGCCAGGATTAGAACCGGTGCCCATATGGGATCCTGGTGTGTGCAAGGTGAGGACTTTAACCACTAGGCTATCGTGCCGGGCCCTAGGATAACTTTTTACCACAGCAAGCATTCATACTCCTTCTCCTCTATCAGAGAGCAGGAATACATACTTTTTGTTTTGTTTTTAAATATTTATTTATTATTGGAAAGGCAAGTTTGATTTATGGAGAGAAGGAGTGACAGAAAGATCCTCCTTCCACTGGTTTACTGACCAAATTGCTACAATGGTTAGAGCTAAGCTGATCCCAAGCCAGGGGCGTCTCCCAAGTGGCTGTGGGCTCAAGGTTTTGGAGCATCCTCCACTGCTTTCCCAAGCCATTGCAGGGAGCTGGAAGGGAAGTGGAGCAGCTGAGAAATGAACTGGAACCCGTATGGGATCCCAGTGCTTGCAAAGCGAGGACTTAGCCATTCAATGAACCATTGTGCTGGGCTCAGGAATATGCACTTTGAATCCAAGATATATGGTTGTACCATTTTCTAGCTGATGAACTTGGGAAAAATACTGAATACCATGATATGTAGTTTATTCATTCTAAAAACCAGGCCTTGGAGATCCTTGGCGAGTGTTGAGGATTCTGTTTGGTAACTTTTAAGGGAGATCAATAATTAATTTGACTAATATAATAGTGATTAATGTGATTGATTTCTTGGCAGATTCAGGCCTTCTCTCCCTATTGCCTGCCCCAAAACCTGATGAAATGGATGTTTCGTTACTCTTTTCTCAAGATTTTGAAGAAGTGCAACTGTGTAAAAATGGCTCAGTTGTATGCGTTTGTGTTTTCCAAGTTACTCTCAGATGATGGTCAGAGATGGTGAGAGCATCACAGACAGCAAATGGGTTTAATGAAAAGTTGCCTGCTTAGACAGAAACGCCGGGCACTGGTTTTGTGGTGTGCAGCAGTTGCCATCACTGAGGAGGACACTGCTTGGAGTGTTCTCTGCTTCGTGCTCGGCTCCCTGCTAATGCCCAGAGCGGCAGCAGGTGGTGGCTCAGCAGGTGGTGGCTCAGCCTGCTTGGGGATCCTGCCAGCCGCCTGCCGGCCACGGTGCAGTTGCTGCCTGGCTTTCACCCTGCCCTGCTCGGGCTGCTGCAGACATTTGAGGAGAGAACCAACAGATGGAAAATCTCTTGTCTCTCCCTTTCAAATAAATGGCTTGTGGGGGAAAAAAAAAGGATTGTGAGCTGAAAAGTTGAGTGACCTCTTGTAAATTATTAGGTTAAGGAATTTTTTTTTTTTGGTAGCCTAAAATGGGGAAGAGTATAAGGCGTTCCAGTTAATTTTCTAAGTTCTCTTTTAGTATGTGAGAATTAAACCACCCTTTTATTTCAGTTAGACTTTTATTTCCCTGTGTGTGTCTGACCTTGCTTTCTTTTTCTCCTTCTTGGAGGGAGGAGAAAGGCATTTGGCCTCTCCCCTTCCTCCAGCCTGACACCTCCCCCGGTGTTACTGCCCCTCCCTTTTATCTTTGTTAACTTAGCAGCCTCTCCCTAAAGCCCGCTCTCTCCTTATAAGGCTGTGTGCACCGCTTTTGGCAAAGTTGCAAAAGGATCCAGGTAAGTAACTGTGGTCTCCGGACTCTCAAATTTGAGAGAAAATTTAATGTTATCTGTCCCAGCGGAGGCCTGGAGAAGCACACGGGTAAGGGGGGAGGAGAAGGAGGCGGCGCCCTGGCCTGAGAGACCCGAAGGACTTGCTCTGCCAGTCCTGCGTGTGCGCGGGCAGCTCTGGAAAGAAGCAGGTTTTGTTTCTTTCCAAACCCTTTCAGCCCCGGGTCCCCTGGGGAGCTCAGAGCCACACCCTTCTTTGCTTCACCCCAAACCCAGTGTTTAGCCATTTTACTATGTATGGTGTGGGGGTTTCCAGAATATTTAGGTGCAGGGGAAGGGAAGAAAAATGTTTTGTCTCTGAATTTAGGAGGTTATGGCGGTGTGGATTTCTTTTTTCTATCAAGACACGGTGAAAATTTTAAATCCCAGTGGAAAACTTTGAGTGCCATAGACAAATCAAGGTTCCTTACTGGTCCGCAGACTGTCCACCAAGCCTTCTTTCAACCAGAGTATCTAAAAGAGAAAACCTTGTACATGTTTATCTTGAATCCCTTGTCTTTGACACTGCCAACAGGAGAGTGATTTTTTCCAGACTCCCTTAGTTGAACAGAAAGATTCTCGGGGACAGGGGTTTGGCCGGGGGCACAGGGAGACTTTGTGAAGGTAGGCCCCTCTGGGGACCCTTCTGGATGCTCTGACCAGAGGCGCAGGACCTGGGTTGAAGTAGAGGTACTGCTGATGGTAAGGCAGGAGATTTCCCAGAATGCGGGTTTGTGACTTGAAGCAGGGCTCAGAGGAGATGAGACGTGGAAGTGTGTGCAGTCTTTGATCTTGGTGCGGATTGGCTGCGGGACTTGAGGTTAGCCTGGAAGTGTTCCCTGGGTGGGGTGGAGTGCGGTGAGGCATGTAGACTTTGGACTCCAGTACAATCATTCTTCCTTGATAAGCAACAGAACAACTGTTGACAAAATCATATTCCTTTGATTTAGAAGCAGAATGACAACTTTGTGTGTTGTGGAATAATTGCTTTGAATTAAGGGGCAAATGTCAGTTAAGGGAAATGTTTTAGTTTCTAGAAGACTCTATTGAAGTCATGTATTGAAATTCTAGAATATTATAAGTATTGCACCTTTTAAACTTATCTTTTGTTTTAATATTTATTATAAAAATAAAGAGTTACAGACCCATGTGGATATCTGATTAGGCAAGAGAGAGTCTCCCACCCTAATTGGAAGCCCAGAGGGTTGCTATGGCCGAGCTGAGCTGGTCCGAATCCAGGATCCAGGAGCTGCTTCCGGGTCTCCCATGTGTGCAGGGTCCCAAGGCCTTGGGCCATCGGTCAACTGCTTTCCTACTTTGTAAACAGAGCTGGGTTGGAAGTGGAGCAGCTGTGACATGAACCAGCATCCATATGGGAAGCTAGCACTGCAGGCACAGGATTAAATTATTATACCACTGCTCTGGCACCATGAGACTATTTTATTTAAAAAGATGTATTTATTTAATTCTTTGGAAGGCATTGTTAGAGGGTCGCAGATACCTTTTATCTGCTGGTTTCTTTCCCAAGTGACCACAATGACCAGGACCTGATGGAGCTTGGAGCCAAGCACTCTGTCCTGGTTGTCTGTGTGGGTGACAGGGGCCCAGGCACTCAGCCGTTTTCCCACTGCTTTCCCAGGTGCAACAGCGGGGAGCTAGATGGAAAGTGGATCAATTGGGAATGTAACCATCATTGCTCATGGAATGCCCCCATCACAGGTGGTTGTTTAATCTGTTGTGTCACAGTGTCACAGTGCAGTCTTGTGACTTTATTCCTAGCATTTAAAAAATAATTGCTATTTATTTTGCTAAGAGAGAGAGTTACCACTCGTAATTCCTCAGATGCTTGCAGTAGCCCGGGCTGGGCCGGGCTGAAGCCAGAAGTCCGGAACTGGAGCTCTAGCCAGCGTTCCCGTGTGGGTGGTAGGACTGAAGAACTTGCAGATCATCTGTTGTTGACTGCCAGGGTGCATGTTAGCAGGAAGCTGGAGTTTGATGTGGAGCCAGAATTTAAACCCAGCCACCAATATATGGGTTGGAGATGGGTTGTTGGCATCCCAAATGGCAGCTTACCCACCATGCCGAAGACCCATTCCTTGGCACACTTAAAAAAATTTATTTATAGGCCCGGCGTGGCAGCCTAGTGACTCAAGTCCTCACCTTGCATGCACCAGAATCTTATATGGGTGCTGGTTCTAATCCCAGCGGCCTCACTTCCCATTCAGCTCCCTGTTTGTGGTCTGGGAAAGCAGTTGAGCATGGCCCAAGGCCTGGTGATCCTCCACCCATGTGGGAACCTGGAAGAGGCTCCTGGCTCCTGGCTTTGGACTGGCTCAGTTTTGGCCACTGAGGCCACTTGGGGATGAATCACCAGATGGAAGATCTTCCTCTATGTCTCTCCTTCTCTTAGTATATCTGATTTTCCAATAAAAGTAAATATTAAAAAAAACTTATTTCTGAATAGTTTTAAAATTATAAAGCAAAATAGTGTAGTTGTAAAAATTATTAACATTAATATCACAACGTATAAGCTATATCCAATTTTCCTTATTTTTTTTTAAACAAAAAGATTTGTTTATTTTTATTGGAAAGGCAGGGTTACAGAGAGAGAAGGAGAAACAGAGATTGTCATTTGCTGGCTTGCTCCTCAAATGGCCGCCATGCACGGCTGGAGCCGTTGTGAAGCCAGGAGCTTCTTCCAGGTCTCCCGTGTGTGCAGGGCTCCGAGCACTTGAAGCATCCCCCACGGGTTCCCAGGCATGTCAGCAGGGATTTTGATTAGAGGTGGAGCATCAGGGCTGGAACTGCTGGGCTGGATGTTGCAGCTTAACAGGATAAGCCACAGCGCTGGTCCCTCTACAGTTTTTTTTTTTTTTTTTTTTTAAATCCAAACTCCCTCTGTTTTTTCCACTCCTTTCAGCTTCCAGTATTGTAGTAGGCAGTATTCTGTTCATAATGAGTTTTTTTTTTTAAAGCTCCCATTTATGAGGGAGAACCGGTGGTATTTGATGTTCAGTGTTTGGCTTATTTCACTTACCATGATATCCTCCAGTTCCATTCATTTTGCTGCAAATGACAGGATTTCAGTGTTTGTTTTAATCTTGTTTAAGGCTAGATAGTATTCCATTGTGTTTATGTGCCAGTTTTCTTTATCTGTGCATCTAATGGTGGACACTTTGGCTGATTCCCTGGCTTGTCGATGGTGAGGTGTCGCTGCTGTAATTCTCTCAAGTTATGGCTGTGTACCTGGTGGTGGGGTTGCTCAATCACGTGGCAGTTGTATTTTGGGTTTTCCATAGTGTCTGTACTGGTTTATGTTTCTACCAGTGGTGTGTGAGAGATCCCTTTTTCTCACATCCATGGCAGTGTTTTTAAAAAAAGGTTTTATTTCATTTTTGATGATATTTACATAGTTGAGAAAGATGTATGCTCATGTGGGCCACCAGTTAGGGTATTAGGGTAGGGAGTGTTGAGGCATGGAGGAAGGAGGGTGGGAAAAACACTTCCATTTTTTTTCTCTTGATTTGGGATGAGGAAAGTGGGGAAGGGAGGGGTCCATTTCTTGCTGCCAAATAAGGTTTCCCAAGAAACCATCACTTGCATCAGCCAATGCACACAGCATTGAATGCAGCTGCCCAGCCCCATTCCCCATGCACACCAACGTCTCCTAGAAACCCAGTCCTATGCCCACCACTGGAAACTGCAGCTTAGTTGGGGCAACCCTCAACAGCTCCCTCCAGGCCTGCCCCCAACCCTGGTTCCTGCTTGTGTCCACAACTGCGGCAGTCTGGTCCTGCATCCTGCTCTCGTGTATACCCACGCAAACTGTGGATTAGCTCAGTCCGACTCGCCCTCCTGCCCAGCACACACGTATGCCAGTGGTCATAGCAGTACTTGTTACTCTCTGTGATAATAGCCATTCTAACGGGGGGAAGGGACATTTCATTGTGGTTTTAAAAAATCCACCTGAAATCAATGCAATGATGTAGAAATGAAATTTTGTTTAAAAAGAGGGAGAGCATGAATCTGTATCATCAATGTTGATTTCATAACTGGGACTGGTTACAGAAGATAAAATTTATTTACAAAATCCAAATTGATAAAGTTTGGAGTTCTACAATCTTTTTTTTAAAAAAAGATTTATTTATTTTTATTGCAAAGTCATATATACAGAGAGAAGTCAAATACAGAGAGGAGGAGAGGCAGCGAGGAAGATCTTCTGTCCATTGTTTCACTCCCCAAGTGGCCTCAATGACTGGAGTTGCCCGATCAGGAGCCAGGAACCTCCTCCGGGTCTCCCACGCGGGTGCAGGGTCCCAAGGCTTTGGGCCGTCCTCCACTGCTTTCCCAGGTCACATGCAGGGAGCTGGATGGGAAGTGGGGCCACCGGGATTAGGACCAGTGCACGTATGGGATCCTGGCGCAGACAAGGTGAGGGCCTTAGCTACTAGGCTACCGTGCCAGGCCCTGGGCCCTGGAATTCTACATCTTGGGACAAGAATTGGCTCTTTGCCACAGCTGACCTTCTGATCAGTGAACCCTAGAAAATAGTGAAAGCCGCCTGTGATTTTACATTATTAGTTCATGTAAACTAAACCATGAAGAGTAATTTAAGTTTGTAGGGATTGGAGTTTTTCCAAGGTCCTCTAGCTAGTTTTTGACTAAGGTGAGATTTGGACCCCAGGTCTTTTGTTTCCGAAAATGGGGTTTTACTTTATTTTTCCTGCAGGTGTGTGAAAATTGCCATGGTTTACAGGGCTCTGGAAACAGGAAAACCAGGCATGGAGACAGCACATGGTTTACTTATAAGCCAGTCCTACTGACAACACACATCTAGTACCGTGTTTGCTGTAATGCTAACAGCTTTCTGGGTGTCATGAAGACATTTTCCTAAGCACTTCACATGGACTGTCCCATTTAGTCCGTAAGTCAGTCTCCTTGTGTGTGTATGTATGCCTACACACACA